GCCTCTTTTCCTTCCCTTAAAACCTTAGTACCCATTTGGTCGTTCTGTGCCTTCCATTGTGATTCCCATCGGCTCCTTGTGTCTTGGATCCCTGCTACCCCCTACCTGCACCCCCCCCCATACTACCATCCTCTTTTCCCTTTCTTTACCACACTTCTTCTAGTTCGTTCTTTATTCGTTGACCATTTGAGAGGCTGCTGCTGCAGGTCGAGCACTGTGCCGGGTGCTCGGATCTAGTGGTGTGCATGGCAGACCTGGCCTCTCCCTCGTGAAGCTTTAGTTGCGATGGGACCCACAGACATTAATCAGATGATCACACCAGATGTGTAACACCAGCTTGTGCCAAGTGTCAACAGTACAGGAGTGAGTCCTACGGGAGTGCCATTGTTTGAGGAGCCTGGGAAATTGTCCTGAGAAAATGATGTTTGACCCCTGGTCTGAAGAATGAATAGGAAGGACCTAGATGCTTGGCAGGGGCTGGGGTGGGGGGAGGGGCAGAGAAGCAGCTGAGATCAAGGGGAACAGGAAAGGATAAGCCAGTGGCTGGGTTGGGGGCTGGGAGAGCAGCAGGAAGAATGAGCAGGAGGGAGCGGAGGTGGGGGCCAGATGACCAAGATCTCGTAGCCCCTAAGGATGGAGGTGTTTGGGGTTGAGCAGTGAGAAGCTTTGGACGTGATTTAAGCCAAGGACTGATAGCATCAGATGGACTCTCGGCGATCACCTCTGCTGCTGTATGGAGGGCAGACTCTAAGGCGAGCAGTGGTCCATGAGGAGACTTCTAGGCTTGTTCCCATGGTCCAGAGAAGTTGGAGAGGGGTTGACAGGTGCAAGATGGATTTAAGAGGAAAATGTGGGAGATTAGGTGAGGGATAACAGAGAAGGGGATGTCAGGCATGACTCTCCTAGGTTTCCAGCTTTTGTAACGGCGGATAGAGCACCAGCCACTGAGATTGGAAGACATGATTTGGAGAGAGAAACATCATGTTCTAGACATTTTGAGTTGGGAGGGGGTGCTTTGGAAATCTCTCCCGGTTCCGTATGTCCAGCTGCCTCTTGCTTATCCGCACATGATAATTTTATCAGCCCCCAGCCCTGTGCATGTCAAAGTGACAAATTTCATCTTTCTCCAAAACCCGTTTCTTTGTCCTTTGCATCTCTTGGTGGGATCGCATCTCTTGTGTGGGCCTAAATCTTGAGTCCTTGCGAGGCTTCCCCCACTGGCTCATTGTCTCCTTCTTTTGCTTCCCACATGGGTCATTGTGCTCTCAGATTCTCTTACATTCCCAATTTGCCTTAAACCATTAGCTTGCAGGGTTCCAAGGAACAGGCGTAGTACACAGTGCTTAGTGCTGCCAAATGAATCTTCAGGAAGCACCGGCCTGTCATTGTGCTCTTCTTCACGAAACAGACTCCATGGATCCCAGTCACCCTGATCCAAGCCCTGGGGCACTCCCCAGGGAATTCCTCTGCCACCGGATCATAAACCTGATCCACTTGTTTTATGAAATCCCCATACTTTCCCACAGGTGTAGCTGATGTCACTGTTACCTGTTTGGGGAAGGCAAATCTACAGCTGCTATTATTCCATCCTGTAAGGATCATCTTTAACATTGCCATTGCCACAGAACCTTCATGAGACCCAATCAATAGGAAATTGTTCTGCCCTCCTCTGACCTCTCATCTCATTAGTCTGGACATGGCTTTTGTTCTGTTTTGTTTTGTTTTGCAAGCTGGCATCAGAGCTATTTGGGTACATGTGTCTTATCTCCCAGACTGGGCCCTGAGCTCCATGAGGGCAGCATTTGCATCTTATTTATTTATCTCTAATGGTTCCTACTATCCAGTATGATTTCTGTTACTCCATATACACTTGAGAGAGATGGTAAATGAATGCATCTTTTTTAGATTGTTCTGTTTACTTTCTCAACTATTTTAGATCCGTCGAGGTACAGAATTCTGAGTTATAATGGACCTTGGAGAATTCTTAAATATTTAATGATATTTACATAGTGACAACTCCAGTTTCTACAAAGTTAAGCTAATTTTCCTATTCCTGGATCTTCCAGTTTGGCCTGCTGTGTGATCTGATCTTGAATCTGTCATTGGGGGAGAACATGGCAAGTAGCCTCATTAAACTGTGGGTGCCTGTGGTCAGGAACTGGCTGCTTCTCCTCAGTTGTCCCATTTTCTGTTTTGTGTTGGGTCAGGCTGATCAGAGCTATAGAATTGCCCCCATACAAGGACAAAGAACAGTATGGTCTCATCTTTTGTGTTTATATTCTTGCTTCCATGTTGACCTTAGAGTATCAGACTTCTATTTAGTGTCTAATCTGTGTGATTTTAGGCGTAAGTTTGACACTTAGGAATATGCTTAGATACTCCTAAGTCTCAGTTCAAACAGAACAGTCTGCCTGATGGTATGTTTTTAATAACTAGGTTGTATTGAGAAGGAAACACATTATAATATGCAGCTATATATGTACACAATTCCTGAGTAGTGTATTTTTCTTCTGTAGGCATTTGGATTTTAGTCACGCTGTGAGGTGTCTCACCCTGTGGCGACAACTAAAAAATGCCTCCTTATGGCTATGAAGAGAAAGACCTGTTGCTGCTTGCAAGAATGTACTGATCTGCTATATTTGTAGAGCACTTACATTTTCCAAACACTAAGATGTTCTTTGTGATAATAATAACTTCCATTATTTTCTAGCTACCATGTGACAGGCACCATGCCAGGTGCTTAAGTCAATGATCTTTAATCATCCCTACGTTACAGGTAAATGTGGCTGAGAAGTATAGTAACTTGCCAAAGTTATCCAGCTAATAAATGTCAAAACCATCTGAACCAATTTTGTCCAGCATCAAAGCTTGTGCTTTTTTCTCTACACCATAACAACCTTGCTCTTAGGCTTTAACTTTTCATTTTGAAATATTGTGAATGATCGAACTTGGAAAACTAGGGCATTACCTATAGCTTCTCCAGTAACTATACTGCTTAATCAAAACCAGGAAATTTATGGCACCATCCAGTTAACTAAGACTCTGACTGTACTTGAACCTCACTGATATTTCATGTACTCATTTTTGTAGGTTCCTGCATACAGTCTATGACATTTGACCCCATGTGTAAAGTCACAGAACTATGCACTAGCAATCAAGATCTGCAATTATTTTACCACTGCAGAAGAACTCCCTCCTGCTGCCACTTTAGAGCCACATCTTCCTTCCCTGCACTCCCTGGCACCACTTCTCTGTTCTCCGTCTCTATAATTTTGTCACTTTAAAAATGTCATAAATGGATTCATACAGTCCGTGATATTTTGAGATTGGCCTGAGCTACTCAGCATGATGCCTTTCAGAGCCTTCCACATCATTTTGTTGGTCCATAGTTCCTTTTTTTTTTTTGTAGCTGAGTAGTGTTCTATAGCATGGATGCGCCACATTCTTATGTTTTTTGAATTTCTAGAATACCTGTAAGCTATATTTATAATTTTATAAAGAAATGTTTTGTTTTTTTATTGTATAAAGGAGAAGGATTTAAAATAGAACTTAAACTTTATTTGTATCCCCAAAAGGACATCTTCTAAACAATAAAAATGTAATAAGCACCTTGAAAATATTTTCTTTATTATCAAGGTAATCACAGTGTTTAAGAAAATATTGGACTTAAAAAATTTCTGTAGGCCTCCCTGTCTTTGTCCATGTAAATATATATTTTACATTACTGTACTCAGTACACTTTGTGTGGTGTTTTTCTCCACTGAAGCTTATTTTTCCACGTACTGTAATTATTTTAGGAGCTGCATGCTTATTCCATCACGTTGACAAATGGTCATTTTCTCCACCCTGACGTCCACCTCTGGCTCCATTGAGCATCTTCACACACATAACCGTTCAGTCCTGTTGTACAGTAGCTGTAAGATAAGCTCTTAAGAATCCAGTTATGGGAGCAAAAGGGTAGGGACCATTTGTCTGGTTCTTCTGATGTGTGTTTCCAGACCTTGGCTCAAATCTCAACCCTTCCCCATATTTACTAAGCAAGTTACTGAAGCTTTTCAAAGCCTTGATGGCCACGTCCAGAAACAAAACTGCTACACCAACATCCGGAACGATTGTGATGATAAAATCAGAAAGAAGAGGCGTGCAGAGCCCCTGTTGCAGCCCCTGGCACAGACGAGTTATTCCATGTGTGGCAGCTGCTGCCATCTCGTGATGATTGTGTTATGACTTCACGAATGTGATTCTGGCTTGCCAGCAGTTGTATGGAGCCCTTGCACCCAGCACTGGATAAGGAATGATGGAGAGGCATCGCTGTGCGTCCAGGCCCTTCTTGGGGAAGCGCACCCTTGCACGTGCACCCATGCCTCAGCTAGGCACCACTTCCAGATGTTTGATTTCTGGTGTAGGGAATATAGACTGGTGAATTTCTGGCAGAGTAAAGCAAGCGATGTAGCAGCAGTCTGAATCTAGTGTTCTAGAACTTCAGAGAAGGGAGTGGTCAATTCTAATTAGGAAGCGGAGCTTTGTTAGAGGTGATGTTTGCTGAGCCAGGGCTTAAGCCACAGGGAAACATCTGGTAGCTGGGAAACCTAGATCATCCTGGGCAAAAGAAACACCATGCACAAATCACAGAGGCCTGATTGTAGACAGTGCTTAAGGAACAGTACTTAGTTGGGAGTACAGAACAGTGTGGGAGAGGAGCCTGCGAAGACCAGCTGGAAGTGACACCACAGGGCCCTTGAATTGTGTCCCTAGGAGTTTAGTCTTTTATTTTGTAGGCAGTACAGGATGACACATGTTTGGGGATGCATTTTGGTTGCATAACTGCCTATTGTCATGCTTGCTCTGTTATGTGTGATCTCTATCACAGTTTTGTTCACAGAAAGTGGCAAAATGGGCCAAGGTAAAAGTGCCCTAAAGCATTTGTGTTTTTAAAAATGTTTTTGATGTTTTAATGATACTGACTGAAATATTGACTTTCGCATTTCTGTCCATTACAGGATTCTGCTCTAATACTTGATGTTCCTCTGGGTGTGATCTCCAGAATTGAAAAAATGGGAGGCGCGACAAGTAGAGGAGAAAATTCATATGGTCTAGATATTACTTGTAAAGTAAGAGATTCAGTACTTTCTTATGTGGAAAAAAAAGACACCATAGTGTTGAATGATGAGTAACAGTTAAGGGCGGGGCGGGGGGGGGGTTACCAAAAAAAATTGAAGATCCTGGTTCATCTAAGGCTCAAGAATGGTTCTTCCCTCACGATCACGCTTCCAGAACCTCCTGGGGAAATAGTTCTTATTAAAGAGACCTGCAAGGACTCAGACCTGTCCTTCTGTCAGCTTGACCAGATAGGAGGAAAACTTTATAGATAGAATTTTCACACTTTTTAGTTTTTGCCTGAGTCCACTCCTGGTGTCCCTTTATGTGATGTGTTACCAGCTAGACATCTTCACACCATGAAAGGAAAGAGAAATGCAAGAGATTTTTCCCTCTATGCATGGGATGGGCCTCTGACAACCTTTCTAACTTTTGCTTAGTTTTCAAAGGTAACATTTTGCCTAACATTTTGTTTTGGCATGGGGGTGGCACAGATTTAATGATAATAAAATTTACTCAGCTGTAATAGGAACTGTTACTGAGCATCTGTGTCAGTCCAGACACGTGCTAGGTGCTTTGTGTTCAGTCCTCAGGGCAACCGTCTGAGATGGTGGTGGTATCTCCATTTTATTGTTGCGAACCCTTGAGCCTAAGAAGAGTTAGGTCACTGAGCTAAGATTACCCAACAAATGGCAGGGTTGGGATCCAAATACAGTGAGATGATCATTTTGTAAACAATGGGATAAACCTGGCAAGAAAACTTCCTTTCCAGGTATTAAGTGTCAGACGATTACAATCCAAATAGAGTAATAATAGAATAGAATATTGTCTAAGCCCAGAAAGAGCTGGAAGGGGTTTGGAGGTCCTCTGTCTCCGTAGTTCTCATAGCTAGATCTGGGAGATGTGACCTTTGCTCAGGCACTGTGATTTCTTAAAACTAATCTCCCATAATTTTGTTTTGATTATGAATATAGTATGTTGTATTGTCTCCAGTTTGCAAAAGATGAAGACTGGTATACTCTGTCACAAGGATTGTGTAGTCCTTAGGCCAGAACTGAAATTCTCCATCACTGGCCACCTTGGCTTCTTTTGGTTTTTGTTTCAATCTAAGCTACCTTAAATGCCTTCTTTATGATCCCAGCACTGTCTTCACATTGGGGCCTAGAAATACAGGGATTTACTTTTAAGGAAGCATGTTTGCATTTTGCATGAAAGGATCCATGGGAGTAGAGCCTTATATCACAGTACTCAAGGGGAAATAGGGTCTCTGTATTGATGATTTTGAAAGCGACTCGAGTTCTAATAGAATTTTTTTAAAGTCCTATTTGTCACCTTGTCAATAGGAAGAACTCATTTGAGATATCAGTCCCCCCAAAGTTAATAAGATAAAGCACATTCTCACTCTTTGAGCATTTATTGTAAAAATGAGGGACTTAGGGACGACTCATCAGGCATCACTGGCAAGTGTCACACACTTGTGTGTGACTTGTGTTTGTGTGTATATATTTTTTTCCCTGGAATTAGCATTGGGCCCAAAGATGATGGCTAGAACAGTGTTGTAGCCCAGCCTCTTCATTCCATTATCTCCCTGGGAACGGTGACATCTTGGGTGTCAAGTCACATGTTCTCAGGAACAGACTTGAAGGTAATAGAAAGGGAATGTGCCATGGGGGTAAAGGTGGGCTCTCCTGTCTGGCCTAGGTCAGCATCAGCTGGAGTCAGGAGCCCTAACACAGCTACTGCTGCACTGGGACAGGTAGCCGGAAGCCCCTACAGATTCGGTCCTACTAGCTCTGCACATGGGGATTTCTTCCCGCCTGTAGCATCTTGTACCTGGGGGATGTCAACCCCAGTGGATGTTGTCTGGCAGCAGAGAACATGGCTCTGCATATGTGAATTTCTACCCCCAGGTCCCAGACCAGCCCCTGCTGACAACTTGGAGCCTTAAAAACAACAAAAAAGGAGGAAACCAAACCTTAACCATCACAGAACCTCCTCTCTTCTTCCATGCCTCACCCCTGTTTACTCACTTGAAAGACAGTGTGGAGTGTTGAGGTCAGCAGCCATGGGCGTTGTTTCTCTAGAGATGCGTTATAGAAGTGATGTGTCCATAAATCAGCCCTTCAGTGTTGTTGCAATGGGGATGTGTTGATTTGGACTCGTTTATGACAGCGAGGCTTGGTGTGTCACCACATGACCCACTTGGCAAACAGGCCGAGGAGGCTGCAAAGCTCTCCTGCCCCAGGACTCTTCCTCAAGTGCTCTTCCCTGATGGGTCCTCCTCTAAAGGGGACCAGGTAGGCCTCACTACTTAGGATATACTCATATTTCTGTGGCAGATTTGGTGAGCTGCCGCCTATGAGTCATTTGCTTTTTCCGTTTCAATTTTCTCGTTGGCAAGATGAGGTAGTAATTCTTTCTGTCCTTTAATTACATGTGAATCAGATGGCAACAAGGAATTGCTTGAATCACTTGTGCTTTGGCACACTGAAAGTATTTGTTGGAATCACTGATGGATCCAAATAAATGGTTACTTAGAGATGGTCTAAATTCTGGCCAGGTGGTTAAGAACAACGGTGATACGGAATTATCGGCTGACCCCAGGCTGTTAGGAGGAAAGTTTTATGCACATCCCCGAGCCCCGGCCCCGCACATCCTCAGCTATCTGGCACTGTGCTTGTGGCTGTAACCCTTTTAAGGCACAGCATGTCATTGAAATGATTATTCCCTTTTATTGGACCACTGCTTTGCATCGTGAGCCAACAACTATCTCCGTTTTCTTGGAATAGGTCATGAATTGGTTTTTTGGATTTTATTCCATTATGTGCTTTTCAAAAAGAAAGCACAGAATCCTAGAGCTGGCAGGGCCCCACAGTAGATGCCATCTGTATAGAGAGTGAGCAGTCTTGGGGGTCACTCAGTAGAGATCTTCGGGTCTGGTTCTTTGTACTGCCTCTGCTGCCAGTGGCATTCTAGGAGGTCCCACATATGATGAGGCCTTTGCTCGTCCTGCACGCCGCAGACTCTGGAAGCTTGAAGTGTGCTCCTGAGATAATGAATGAAAAAGCACTCTGGAAAAATAGAAAGATCATGACACCCTAGAGGGCAGGGACCAGCTCGGCAGTCTCCCTCCTGAAGTACCCCGGGATCCGGCACAGGGCTTGTTTTTCTGAATTGAAAGTGCAGGGCACAATGTGATGTCTCTAGTGCTCAGCCACTCGGTCACAGCACCGTGATGGATTTCAGAGACAACCCAAAACACTCACGCTTTGAAAATAAGACAGGATGTCATGTATTTTGATACGTGACACAACTTGACATTTAATGGAGCTCTTTTTGGTTTGGTTTCGGTGTCAGAAGGTTCTCTTGCTTAGCAAAGAGATACGTATTGAAAGCCCCTTTTAAAATCCAGTTTGGAGCATTAACGTTGTGTTCCTGGAAGCCTAGGGGTACTTTGCTGTGGTTTATGTAGAACTCCGTGCAGGTAAACTTGATGGCAAGGACTTAACTTGTATGAGAACTTACAGTGCCCGTCATCTCCCGATGTGTCAGAGGGAGACTTGGGAGTAGCATGAGGCAGAGGGAGAGAGCTTCCAAATTTTCATGACCTATTTGATGCTTTTGAGAGGATATCTGGTAGCAGGTACATATTTGAAAAGTGCTGGGAATAAATACTCTTTTATAGTGCCAATACCGCAGAAACCAGTCGAAGTAGAGAGACACCGTAAATGGTGCGCAAAGGCAAGGTTTAATTTTTCTTGTTATCCAATGATTTTTAGTTTTGTGTGCTCTTTAGCACTAGTTGCTTTGTCTTTACATTAGTGACGACGATGGGAGTATTTTGAGGTTTTCTTAAACTGGATATTTCAAAAAGTCCCACCAAACAAAGTGATTTTCTTAGTGATCTAGATTAATTAATTACCTTTCAGGTAAGTGAATCTTCTCCTTTAGTTGAAGAGGTTTTTTTGTTTGTTTTTCTGGGGTTTTTTGTTTTATTTTGCTGAGGAATGTCATTCTATTTGAAGGCTGAACTGTCCAATTTCTCTGCTCCCCCCCACCCAGGACATGAGGAACCTGAGGTTCGCGCTGAAACAGGAAGGCCACAGCAGGAGGGATATGTTTGAGATCCTCACAAGATACGCCTTTCCCTTGGCCCACAGTCTGGTAAATTCCATGGTTCTCCTAGGCACTGGGAGGTCCTCGGGTGTCTCCCCTTTCATTCACTCGCTGTGCTGTGCTTCCCTGTGTGCTGTGTGTGCCAGGGTGTTCATTAAAGGTGATTGAACCCTTCCCAGGAGGAGTGGGCCCCTCCTCTACTAGGGTGTGTGGGATGGCCCACCCCAGGTGTCACCTGGGGGAGCCCATCTCTCCGTTCCCCTCACACCCCCAGCCTCGGCTTGTCCTCTTTAAAGGTACGAGGTGGTAAGGCTGGCTGTAGGCAACTGCCTTTTGCCACCATACCTTACTTGTATCTTCTCTCCCTTTCTCTTCTCCCTTGCTCAGCTCTAAACAAACTTGGAGACAGACAACCTGATGAGCGGCAAGCAAGGAAGTAATTCTTTAAAAAATTATATATAATTGCCTTTACTGTCTTTACTGTGAGTCTCGGATGGGTATGGCACTGCATGGACTGAAGGTGATAAAGGAGACCATATGTGACGTAGACCTTCTCCCTAAGGCTTTTAGGTTTTTTGGCAATAGGGACCTGAGATTTTTTTTTTTCTTTATCTGGTGAGGCAAGTTTTCTTTCTTCCCAAATTTTACCGAGAGTTGTTCCGGCCAAAGGAAATTCACGGTTGACGGTTGGAAGGCACAATTATGCAAAGACTGGAGGTCTAGAAAGATTTATGAAGTACTCCCCATGAGTCATGCGTTGATTACAGATTCAAATGTAATGCTTAAAACAAATGTAACGATTAAGAGTGGAACACATTTTCAGCCTTTTCTCAGTTTTTGATTAAATGTGTGATGTAAAAGCTGTTTTAGGACTAAACAATTTCTTTAACGATCAGGGCAAAAAGAGTTTTATGAGAACACATCTTTGGAATATTCGTGAAAGTGAGAATGTAAGTCTAATCCATGAAAATTCACTTCGGGAATGTGTTCCATCTTGGGCTTTGTGTATCTGGCCCCAAATGATCAGAAATTTTAAGAATGGCACATGCAGCAGGGTTGAAAGAGTAGAAGCCCCTGTCCCTCTCCTATAAGATCCCCTTTCTCTGACATCTTTTGTCTCTTTTTGAGTTTAGTCCTCTAAAAAGTCAAGTATTAGATCCACTGTCTCCTAAACTACTGGCCCATCTCTCACCTCCATCCAAACTTCTGGAAAGAACCTTCTCTTGAAGATGAGTCTGTTCTCATCTCCGGTCTGTTCTCATCTCTGGTTTATTCATTCCTCCAACCCATTTGAGTATCCAGCTTTACTGGAGGTACCTTTCTGGAACTGAGGCCCTCTTACTGACCAAACCTAGTGGCTCGCTTCAGTCTTCATTGTGTCTGCTTTCCCCCTGGCATTCAACAGTTTCGAGCACCCCATTCTAGCAAGTCCTGGTTTCTGGGTTACTCTGCCAACTTGACTATCCTTCCTGCTCTCCGCTGCCTGTGTCCTTTCCCTAGTGGACCATCTCTGTGATGGTCCCCTTTCAGCCATCTTCCCATGTTCTTTGCTTTGCCATGATGGTTTCGTTTCATCCCATAGTATAAGCTGTCGCTGCCATATGGGTGATTTTGAAATCTAGTCACGACACTGGCCTCCAGTGAGTGTAATAAGCCTAACTCTCTAACATCTTCCTCTGGAAGTCCTTGAGAATCACAGGCTTGTTGTCTCCCCCAACCTCCCTGCAACTCAACAGACCTGCTCTTCAGCCTATATGCCCCCAATTAGGAGGATCCTCTGGTTGCTCAGGTTTGAGAACTTGAAGTCAACTGTCATATTTGTCCCGTGCCTTGCGTCCCTTAGCTACATCTATTCCAAATCCTATAGGTCCTACTTATGGGTGGCTCTCTCATACTTCTTCCCATTTCTACTTGTGCTTCCCATTTTCAGCCATGCTTCCCAACTGGCTTCTCTTCTTTCAGTTTCTCCCCTTCCAGTTGATTCTACAAAGGGTGGCGCCAGTTGTTTTTTAAGTGAATGACGATCATGTCACTGTCCAACCCTCCACAAAAAAAACAAAAACTCCATGACTTCCTGTGGCTTATATCCTACATTCCAAGCACACAGCACCACCCTGCGCTCCTCTGATATACATAGAACTTTCTCAGAGCAGAGGCTTTGGTGTTCCTATCCTCTTTACCTGCAGGCTTCTTATCTCTTTAAAGCCCATCCTCCACCACCTTGCTCAGTCCTGAGTCCTTTTATGTACCATGTGCATCCTCCCCCCTGCTGCAGCCCCGGGGGGGGTTTCTTGCCCCTCGCTTATTAGACTTTGCAGATCTCTCTATTAGAGCACTTATGTCAGCCTGCCTTATGTAATAATAATTATGTAGGAGTTGCCTCCCTCCTGGTAAACTATGAGCTTATCGAGGCAGGGAACAGCCATTAGTTCTCTCACCTCACCAGAATGACTTCTGCATGGGAGTTGTATAATGATGGCTTTTTAAAATTGAACTCAAGTTCAGTTGAAAGTGAAGGAAGGGGCAGCCTAGGTGACTCAGCAGTTTAGCACCGCCTTCAGCCCGGGGCCTGATCCTGGAGACCCGGGATCAAGTCCCACGTCAGGCTCCCAACATGGAGCCTGCTTCTCCCTTTGTGTCTCTGCCTTTCTCTCTCTCTCTCCCTCCCTCTGTGTCTCTCATGAATAAATAAATAAAATCTTTAAAAAAAAAGAAAGTGAAGGAAAAATCCATTTAATGGAAATGTATGGGACAAGTTTCTGGGTGTTGTGGATGGATCTAGCACCAGAGCCTAGGATTCCGGGTGGCTGTCACTGGAATCCACAGAAGGGTTCATTTCTCAAGTCTGTGGTCTTTGGCCTTAGATTTTGTACCTGCGCTAGAAATACCTGCTTTTTCCTTGGGACATCAGGCAAGTGACAAACTTACGAAAAAAATGTCAGCCAGATTGCTTATGTGAAGTTTTTGGAAAAGTACATCCCCTACGTTTTAACCACTAAAAGTCATCTTTAAAAAGGAAGTTAGGACACCTAGGACACCTGGGGGGCTCAGTGGTTGAGTGTCTACCTTCAGCACGGGTCCTGATCCTGGGGTTCTGGGATTGAGTCCCACATTGGGCTCCCTGCTCAGTGGAGCGTCTGCTTCTCCTTCTGCCCCTCCCCCTGCTTGTGCTCTCTTGCTATAACTCTGTGTCAATTAAGTAAAATAAAATCTTCTTTAAAAAAGTTAAACTGGTAAAACAAAAATAAATTGTTTAATTAATTAATTAATTACCAAAGTAATACAAGATACAGATAAAAAAAATAAATCAGCTACTGACATGGCTTTTGGCATATCTGTTCCTGCTATTCACATCAACATGTACAACCGTCCCATAAATCAAGTTCATTTCAAGGTAATGTGTTCGCTGGTGTCAGGGAGCAGGGAGGGCAGATGAGGAGTAAGGAGTACGGGATGAATGAATGATACCTAGTCCCATTTGAGGATATGACAAAAGTAATAGGACGCATGTGGAGGGCCCCGATATGGAACAGGTACCTTCACTGCTGTCAGAGAAATTCAGGGTAAGTCCACTGGGGGTTCACAGGAAGATGAGAACAGAACACATCCAACCTATGTTGGAAAAGCCTGCATGACATTTGATAGTCATTTGGGTTGAGCCTTGAAGGATGCTTATCATTTCCGGGGGAGGAAGTGCAATTCCAGGCAGAGGCAAGACCCTGACCCTCAACACACAGCAGAAGGAAAGCTGGAAGCAGTGCGGAGTGTTTATGAGGGGGGCTGGTGCTGTGTGGTTGGAGCGTGGGGAAGAGGAGATCTGGGGTCATGTGGCGGAGGGCTCTGCTAAGGAAGGAGCTAAAACCTGGAGAAGTAGTGGAGACCTACGGAAGGTTTTGAAATAAGTGATAGGATGGAATACAAGGTTGTGAAGACTAGACAGCAGGAGAGAGCTCCTGGAGCCTGCGAGGGGCCGTCAGAGGGCCAGGTGAGAGGGCCATGGTGCCAGAACTAGGACCCCGCAGTGCAGGTGGCCGGGGCAGGGGCAGTGGGTGACACGCTTGGGCAGCAGTCTGGTGAGAGGACAGCGAGGAAGGCTGAATCATCCTTCCCTCTGGGGTTTGTGGCTTGAGTGATGAGGAGGGTGGGGTGCTGTTGACAGAGCAGGGAAGTCAGAAAAGGATTTTGTTTGGGGAAACAGGTAGAAAACAGCAAGGAGGGAGAGATGGGGAGTTCTGTTTTGTTTGTGTGGCTGTCGTTGTTGTGGCCTTTTGAGAGAATTGACAGCAGCGATTTCAGGCCTGGCCCCAAAAAAGGATCTAGAGATGTAGATTTGGAATCGTGGGTCTTAATCTGTTGGGAGCGACAGATTCCTTTGATAATATGATAGAAATGATAGTTTCTCATCCCATGAAGAGTGCACTTCTGTACAAAACTTTACGTAAAATTTTAGGGTTTCAGCCCCTCTGAAGCTCGTCTGTGGCTCCCAGGTTAGTTAAGTAGCCCTGGTGTGTAATAGAGGAGTCTGAAACCAGAAGTTTGGGAGCGGCCAGTTTGCAAGGAGTGAGTATGTCCTGCATGCTGTGCCATGCCGCAGAGGGCCAAGGGGCCTGGAGGGCTGGGAAGGGTCCTGTAGATTCCATGGTAGCAAGCTCCCCGGGGGCCAGACTCCCTAACTGGGAGATTGGGACCTTGTTTCCTATCCTTTGGGTCCCAGTTCCTAGTATAGTGGCTGGCATATGGTTGTTGAACTTTTTTGAATCTAGAAAGTAACCTACGTGAGAGGACAGAAACTAGTGGGTAAGGCTCTAAAGAAAGAGTAGAGAAGAGGGTGTTTTTAAAAAGATGAAAAACATGAGCACCTGTGTGGCTCAGTGGTTGAGTGTCTGCCTTTGGCTCAGGTCGTGATCCCGGGGTCCTGGGATCGAGTCCTGCATCGGGCTCCCTGCTCAGCAAGGAGTCTGCTTCTCTTTCTCCCTCTGCTCCTCTCCCTGGCTCGTGTTCACTCTATCATGCTGTTTCTCTAATAAATAAATATAATCTTTAAAAAA